TTCTTAGTGGAACACAAAATGCTCAATATGAATCATAGAAAAATATTAATTGCACCATTACATGGAATGCCTAACAAATTGTTGTTTCATAAACACAACCACAAAAGCTTATCAATGGTTAATTTTTAGTCTAAGTATTTTTGAGGAATATGATAAGTTACTGTTACCACACAGATAAGAAAGCTTCTTCCAGAGTTTATGCTCTGTATGCCAATTATTCGACTAACTTGCATCAGTTTTTAAAGACTTGGAGGTTTTTAAATAACAATGAATATAAACATACCGAATCAATCATTTTATAGTTACCATGGGAAGACTGTTTTTTGATCTTTTTTTTTTTTTTAAACATCATGGTGCAAATACAACGAACTCAGAATGTAATTCATTAATAAATTAATACTTTTTTTCCTAAAAATAGAAGTATAGTAGTTCATCTTGGCATACTAAAAAAGTTTAGGCTTTCACTTACCAGCCAGTGTTGCCCAATGCAATAGAAACAGAACTCAGCAGAAGGTTACATTTGGATTCACTAAGAACTGCATCGTTATTTGCAGCTGGAGCAATAACCACAAACTCCCGCAAGCCATACCTTGGAGGGGGCGAGAAGGAAAAAAGAAAAAACAACAAAAAAACATGACTTTTCTATTTTCTAGTAAATCAGCTTAAACACAGAATTGTTAGAGATATTACAATCTGAATAATGGAATTGCCACCAACAGACTGTGAATCTGTTATTTGGACTTGAGACCCTCTTTCAGAGAGGTCAAGAAGTGACTGGATATGTAGCACTGCAGATTCTCACATCAGTAACTACAGGCATTCATGAGCATTCAAACACTATTAAAGTAGCATGACGATTTCCAGATCTATCAGTTCTGAGTTTATTACTTAAGTTAATAATAACTGTAATTATTTATACTTTAAAACAATCTCTTGATGAATACAATAATCTGCTACAGATTTGCTTTATTAAGAAGTATTTGGTTGTTATTACAGTTTTTTCCTCTCTTAAGGTGCTAAAGCTTTGTTTTTGAGAATGCATCTGATTTCACACATGTTAAAGCCTGATTAGTCTAAGAAATTCAGAAAAAAATATTTTGGAAAGACTGTGGGTTTTTTTTTTTTCAGCTCTTTATTGCATCCCATACAAAGAGCCATTTTTCTTAAGCTTTAACACTGGATGGAAAAAAAAAAAAAAAAAGATTTTGTCAGCATCAAAGATTTTTCAATTGCTATGTTTATTTGTTTTAGGGAAGAAGAGAGGCAGCATACATACCATCTTACCAGACAGTGAGCTCTAGGAGGAAAGTCGTTGTTCATGCACAACAAGTCCTGCATAGGCAGAGGAAGGGCATCTGCAAAACAAATTGATACATAAGAGCATCAGCATCCATTCAGCTAACTTACAATTTACTTTTTCAGCAGTTTGTAAATTCTTTAGCATTTGTCCAATGTAAAACGCTAAAATCAGAGATGTCAGATCCCACCCATCAGACACCTCAAAATTCCACACAAATTCAAATCAATGCACTATGAATTCCAAATTTTGAAATTGTCTTCTGTCATATGCTTATGCCAGTGACATAATTCAGATGCAAAAGAGAATTGTAAGCTACCTTCTGCAGGTTCTTCCTTCCCATCTCTGTCACTGGGTTCTTGTACAAGATAATGATGGGTAACTGAGAATTTGAAGTCTGCAAATGAAATTTCATCTGATTTCTCTTCCCATGTTCCTGTGGTATATATACCCTATAGATTAAAAAATAAACAAACACACACACAAGGCTTTTGTTTCAGCACATAAATTTAGGTTAACATTCATGAACTTTACAAAATATACTGCCTAAACAATCTATAACATTTGTCCACCTTTTTCTGCTACCGTTTTATTCTACATAGCAAGGCATGGTTTAAAGATATATGAATACGATTCTCAAAACACTTCATACTAAAGGTATCTGAATGTTAAGATCCACATTACTAATAATGTTCATCTCAAGGAAATCTTGTCCCCCACAAAATCTTGAGATTTATGAGGTAATAAAGAGGTAAATATTTCCCCTCACATGAAGGGAACTACACATCTTAAGCATCTGCACCCCCTACCTGTCAACCCTACCAATCTACGCAAATGCTTCTTTAGTATTTACTTTGAACATGCTTTCACTGATAAATGATTACGTATCTAAAACCTGCAAAACTTCTGTGAGGATAATTAAATTTTAAGCAACAATACTACATGTGAGGATATATAAGGGGGAAAAAAATAAACAGCACTGTACAGTATTTTACAGCTGCTAGTAAACTAAGCAAATTGGACAACCACCCTTTGTAAAGAGTGTCTTCTCACTAGAAAGCAAAAAGAGAGGTCTGGTCTAGAAAACAAAACATGTATGAATACACTGACAAATAAAATAGCGAACTAGTTGTCAACCTTAAATATTAATTCTGAATAGTTTGTATCATGACTAAAATTAAGTATCATAAAACTTGCCTGGAAACATGGCAACCATTCAAACCAAAGCAGCTAATTTTATTCACGATAATAAGCATATTCTATTTATGTATTTAAATATTCTAATATGCAGAAGAGCTCAGTAATTTCCTGTCTGTTTTACAAGACTGAAAAAGCACCACAAAGGCTCTAATTAGACTTTGGGAAAAAAAAAAAATATCTCTCTGATCTATGAAACGTACTGAGTCACCAGAAACTCAATGAAAACCTCAACCATAAGTACATGAGGTGTGACGAAGGCATGAGGTCAGGCAAAAAGAAACTCCTTGAGAATTTCAAACAGCTTGAACTGTATTTCCAGACTGAAAACTGGCAATTAAAAAAAAAAAAGAAAAAGAAAAAAGGAGACCATTTTCCAGACAACCCACCAAGAGACTTACAGCACTTGTTCATCCAGTAGCCAGCTTTACAAGTGAAATTCCCAATATAAATCATTACCTGGCACACTTACGTAAATGACAGCACATGTAAACACATCCATACGGATTGCTAGTTAAGAATCCTAACAGAACATCTGGAAGCAGCAACTGACCTTTTCTAGAGGTTTGCCTGAAGAAATCCCAATAAGTTTCCAGTCATTCAATACTTCTTCTATTTTTGAAATGAATCTAGTAGGAAGGGGAAAAGTCATTATTTCCTGAAGACTTGTTCAGCTTGCACTGTAATTCAGCTCCCTAAAGCAGCCAGTATGTTGTCCTACTATGGAATACTTTAAAAAAACACCAAGTATCACAACAGGAACAGAACCACTTCCTTGTATGAATGAAGTGGTACTTCTACGTTTACATTGCAGATTATAGTTATTTTTAGCAATTGCTATGAACATGCTTTGAGTGATTATAGAATCTCGCTTATTTTTGTCCGGTACTGCAGCAGATTGGTTTTAAGAAAATATTCCCTTATTTCACTGTTGACAGAAAGAATAAATGTTTGACACATAATTGTAATTGAAATTCAGATTTAAAGACAGCGCTTAAAATCTTTGCCTGCATCTGTCATAGTCATTATTACCAATACAGACATTTTAAGAAACAGGGGTCGGCCTCTTCTTGCAAATAACTAGTGAAAGGACTAGAGAGAACGGCCTCAAGTTGCGCCAGGAGAGGCTCAGGTTGGAAATTAGGAGATATTTCTTCTCAGAAAGAATGGTTAGGTATTGGGACTGGTTGCCCAGGGAGGTGGTGGAGTCACCGTCCCCTGGGGTGTTCAAGGAAAGGCTGGATGTGGTGCTTGGGGACATGGGTTAGTGGGTGACACTGGTGGTAGGGGAACGGTTGGACCAGATGATCTTGGAGGCCTTTTCTAACCTTAATGATTCCAGGATTTCTATGAAATAGTACACCAAGAATGCAAGAGCAATCTTCACCTTAAATTTTCTTCTAACTTTTGAGGGCTTCATCTGAGACGACTACATTATTAATACAACATAAAAACCCACAGAGCTCTTCCAGATGTTTATTCCGATCCCCTTCAAACAGACATTAAGCCAGATCTTTCGCTAAGCTCAGGAAGGGCTTGGCTGGATCCTCTTAGCCTGCCGAGCAGTACCACCAGCAGGCACACTGTCCCGGTCCCCCTGCCCCTGGCGCTGCGTTAAGCCCGATGATGGGGCACAGACACCTTCTGGGGCCGCCTAAGTTCACCTAACAACAAAACAAGGCCACGGAGTAGCTGAAAACTTGGAAAAACTGCTCCCGAAGCCGCCAGAAAGGCGGCCGGGCCGGGAAGGAGACGAACGGTCCCGGCGGCGCCTGCCAGCCCTCAGAGCCCCCCGGAGCCCCGGCAGGAGCCGCGCAGCCCCTCTCCCCGGTCCCGCAGCAGCACGTACCGCTCCCACTCGGAGGCGGTGGTGAAATCCGTGATCTCGAACACCTCCGACTCGGGCTGTGGGGAGAGAGGGGCAGGCGGTGAGCGGGGAGGCGGCGGCTGAGGCACCGAGGGGAGGGAGAGGGAAGGGAGCGGGGGGGGGTTAACGCTCACCTCGCTGTCCGCCGCCATTTTGCGACGCTGCCCGGCCCCCCGCCCTGCCTGCTGCGGCTGACGGAAAGGCGGCGCCGGGCGCTCCGCCCGCTCCTCGCCTCCTCACGGGGCCGCCCCGGCTCGCTTCGCCCTGCCCTGGGAGGCGGCACCGGCCGCGGAGCAGCGGTGCCTCAGGGCTGCTCCTCCCGGACGTGCTGTATCAAAGCTGGGCTCGCCTGTCGAAGCTCCCCGGCTCCCTCAGGGCCGGCCCGAGAGGGTACACAAAATGGCTGCCCGGCCGGCCGCCCACCCGCTTGGGCGTCGCAGCTTGTCCCCATGGGGCCGGCTGGACCTGGGGGCGGACGAGGCGGTCGGCCAGGAGCCGAGCTGCCCCCTGTGCCCGGTGTCGCGGTCCTCAAGAAAAGAGAGCGAGCCCCAAGTCCCCGGGTGTCGGGGCACGCAACCTCCGGGAGCCTCTTACAGCAGCTCCCCCAAAAATCCCCTCACACCATCATCCCCCGAGCCCCCTCACGCCAGCTCCCCCCAAGCCCCTCTCACACCATTTTCTCCCCACTCCCCCTCGGCTCGCCCCACAGCCGGCCCTGCCCCAAGCAGCGCCTCCCAGCCCGGTTCCCGGCCCGCAGCCGGAGTTCCCCCGGCAACGCCGTGTAAACGCACCCGCCCCGCTCCGCCAGAGCGGCACGCAGCGAAGGGCTCGGGCCGTGAGGTTGGGGTTTGGAGGTGGTGCCGCCCTGCCAGGGGGCACGGCTGCCAGCTGGGGATGCCCTGCGGCTCCTGGGCGGGTTGCTGCGCCTCTGTCACCCCTTCACACGGTAAGATGGGGGTTGTGGCCGCTTGGTAGGGCCTCGTCAGCCAGTGCTCTGAAGGGGGTCTCGTGTATCCAAGAAAGGTCGAAGTTTGGAGAAGTTCACGATCTGATATAACTCTTAACAGACTAATACAACGGAATAAGCATTTTAAAGGATTATCTTGTGTTTAGCATAAGAATGATAAAACAGGAGTGCTTACTCAAGCTACTTTTGCACAGCTCGTTGGGTGACCTTGGTCATAACATTCAACATTTCTCTTTCCTCCTCTGTGAACTAAGATGAGGAACTCGTTTCCACTGAGCTGTGCAGTGACGCTGAGATGGAATGGTTCGTAAGGACAGGCAGCTACATGGCTCGCCACCTTCCATCTGTTGCATACATCTCGCCATTAATAAATGGTACCTTGACGTTAGGCAGTTCTCCCAGATGCATTAGTAGCTCTGCTGAGACCCCTGAGCTCAGGTGCAGAGAAAAAATAGAAAAGTCAATTTATTCATAAATAAATTGACATGAAGTATTTATGAGGGAACTTAAAACAACAAAAACACACAGACATGCCGCCAAAAAAAAAAAAAAAAAAAGCATTGCTAGGGTAGTATCTGACGTTGTTGTTAGGAAAAACTTTTAATAAAACTTACAAAGAATGTTGAAAATGTTATTTGCTACTAACCATGAAAAAATTATAATATCATTTTATTCCGTTGAGTCATGCAAGGACAAGGAATGAGGTAGAAACCAGCATGTGAGAAAAAGATCCGAGAGAAAATTTTGTGAAGAAATTAACATAAGAGCCACTAGGTGTCCCATTTTTCACAGTCCATCTATTGATAGATTTAATAGCCATAAACAATCTTCTAAAAACTATACCTTTATTTTAGCCTGCCATACAAATTAAGTTCTAAAACTAGCTACTTAGGTAGCATGTGTATGGTGGTTAAGTAATGTTTTTGTTTGAGGAGGGAATATATCGCAATAAATTAAATTGAAGATGCAAATGCAAAAAAAAAAAGTTTAATGAAAAATCACTGTTTTAAATGGACATAGTATGTATTTCTTGCACAGTTAAAAAGGAGAGTTCATTGCCACACTATATCAATTATGTCAATATAATAAAGCATGCCACGTAATCTAGAAAGGAGAATATATTTATGCTGCAGGAAAAGTTAGACCTCATTCAATACTATTAGCAAGAATATGAATGTGTAAAATACATAAATTGTGGTACTATATTGATTAGACAGTAGGAAAAAAATACTTATTTTTACATTATTACATATTCCATTATGGACTTTACAATCTTCCACTCAGAGGAATGTTGCCCAGAGTTACCCTGTAGGAATTTGAGACTTTTATTCATATATCTTTAAATGTATATTCATATTCATTCACATATTTTTATACACATAAGGTATCTAACAATATCTTCTGTATTTTTGAACCTATAAATTGTTTGCTAAATAATAAAGACAATGGGAAATATTGTAATATAGTTAGGCAATATTAATAATAGTATCTTTTATTCATTTAATTTCACTGTCTTTAATTACATTATGTGTTCTTGTTGCTTGAGTAACAAAAGTTCATAGTGTTTTTCAGAAATGACCCCAAATCCATAAGAAGTATTAATTGAGATTTATTTTAAAGGTTAGCCATCAAAAAGTTCTTATCTTCAAAAGCTTTAATTTCACCCTCTCATTCTTCTTCTGCAATTTATCATTGTTTCTTATTGTTTACATCACTAGCACCTTATGGCATTTTTCACCTTTGAATTTCTTAGAAAAGAGGGTTGTTGTTTTTGTAATTGTGAACCAGCTCACGGTGTGGTTACTCACCATATTCAGGAATGTTGTTAACTGTAGAGGATCAATATTGCCCACACATAGCTATATTTAGCAAGAGGGTGATATCTAGCTCCTTCAGTGTATGCTGATTAGTTGGGAGAAAGGTTCACTGTAACCTTCTAATTAAGGGTAAAGCCTAATAAAAGCATCTTTTATAGCACAGGTCACAGACATCCAGTGGCAACAACAACGAAACAATCATATAATGGCAAGTTATTTTTTATAATATGTACATTTTTAAACACTTAAAAATTACCTTTGTAATATTCAGAGATAATGCATTGCCATGTGTGTACTTATGAGTTTATAATAGATCTGAGATAAAGGATGAAATTTATAGTTTGTTGATATCAGTGAGACTGTGGCTCTGTAGAGAAAAATAACTAGCTAGTTTTTGAGCATACATTTAAAACTACAGCTGTTTTTGTATTATAGAACAATTCTTTCTCAAGATACTTACAAATTATTTTTAAAGTAAATTAATGGCAAGTTCATATTTCTCTCAAATTGCTAGAAAGATTCCAGTTGGCTTCATGTTTCATTGGAATAAGCTGTCATTGAAACTTTGTTGAGACTGCAGTGTACAAGCTCAGAAAGTTTTGGTTCTTGAGCCTCTTTTGCTGTGAGTGTTGGGTATTCAAAAATGAAGACAAAGCAGGTATTAGCTTGTCAGTATGAAAAAATGTACTTAGTGCCAGATGCTAGATGCAACCCTATGAGTTATACAGTGTTTCTTTCTTCCCAAAGTCAATTCCTGGTCATTGCCGGAGGCAGGATATTGCACTAGATGAACTAATTATTTGGTGGTACAGTATGAGGAAAAAATGTATATGGTTTTACATCAGTGTTTGATTTAATTAAAAAGACAATTATCTCACATACAGCTTTAAGATTAATGTAGACTGGTATTTTCAACCTCTTTTCAGTCACAGGATTTCTTTTTTTCCATATTTGGATTTTCCATTCTTCAGAAAGCAGATGGCTGAAATCTGAGTCTTGTCTACATAGCCTCTATTCTTTCAGGCAGGCCATAGCACATTTTATGAATAACAAAGGTGCACCTGGTCTCTGGAATTCTTCTGACATACTTTCCTGATGGTTCTTAAAAAAAAAAAAAAAATCATGCTGAAAGCAATCAGGTTTTATCAAGAAGGAGAAGGTGGGTAATACTTTTTCCCCTTCATGTGTTGGATTTGTCTGTGTTGTCTGTCATTTGTTGTCATTTGTAATCAGTCCCTGGTATTGCAGTCAGATGCTGCTGGGGAGAGCACCAACTTCCCGGATGGATCAAGAAAGAGAAAATACTTTGACATTCTTGGATCTTACAGTCTTCTTGTTCACATTATTTCCATGTCACTTGATTATTTGATCTGAGTAGGCTCCTTACACTTTTTTTTATACTGTTTTGTTTTTTGCTTTTTGCCTTTTAGCCAGATAATACCAACAACCGGATTGTGGCCAGATAAACAAGTGGCATGTTTTAAAAGTAAAAATCAGTTAGCGTTACAGATGGGAGAGCACACTACTCTACCTTTCTTGCTGAAGAAAGAGAACATAAGACATGGCTTTGACTTCAGCTTTCTGCTACAGGCCACATGCACAGAATCCAACATTTCAAAATCATTTATGGATTTGGGTGCCTTTCAGATAATACAAGCACATGCACGACAAAGTAAGCTCTATTTTAAAAGTCACAACTTTTATATATAGCTATACATTGCTATCAAGTGAGGTTCCAAAGCCTCAGAAGTCCTTTTTATTTAAATTTTAAATTGTCTTTATGTTTGTTCAACTTCTTCATATTAAGTAGACTTTCAACCATGTTGAACATCTTCTTTAATGATATGTATGTGTATTTGGGAAATGAAGGAGACAAAGAGAAGCGATGACAGAGAACATTACTCTGTATAATGAAACTGAGTCCACAAAACATATAGGGGAATTCTCAGCAGCTTCAGTGCGGCCAGGATAGCATATCTTTCACTTTTTTCCTCATAATGGAATTAATTAATTCATAATGTCATTAATTGACATTATGAATGTCAATTTTGCATGTTGAAGTTAGCAAACATCTGAAATTGAGAAGAGATATTTGCTTAAATTATTAGAATAAAACTATTTTAAAATTACTATATTTCACCATGTTCTACAGAAAGTGCAGTTATAAGATTCAGTATCACAATTCACTTTCAACTTTCTTCTTTATAGCAGATTTATAACATGGATTGCAACTGCACATTAGACAGATTCCTGGTCCTCAGAGCCCTACAGTTTGAAATTAATTTATGCATGAAAACTGTACTCTGTTTAAGAATGCCAAACCAATATTACATTTGTTTTGATTTTCAAGGGTTAAATATAACAGTACGAGAAAAGAGGAACAAGAAATCTGAGGTAAGATGGTGTTATGTATAAAGCTGAACACAATTAAAAGTATTACATACTTTCAAAACTTGAAATACAGCAACACGAAAGAAGCGTGGGTTGTTTCTTCTACTTATTCTTCAGCCTTTCAGATGAACATCAGTTATTTGTACATATATTTTATATATACATATATATCAGCAAATGTTCAGATCTATATAAAAAATTGTCAGTGAAGTGTTACATCAGGGATTTTGGGGGGTGGAAGGGACTGGAAGTTCGAGAAGATATAGAACCTCTTATAATGGAAATACATAAGTTAATTTCAGGTATGTATATTCTGTATGTTAGGCACAGTTGTCTAGCTTTGCTGAATTCAAAAACAAAATAATTCCATGTATTGATGGGTAATTTAAAATTGAAGCAGAATTGAAGAGCTGTCTTGATATTAAATGATGGCTGAAATTTATTTTCCTAACATATAAAAATAATGTTTTAGAATTAAACATATTTGACATGAAATTTTGTGATGTGTAAACAGGATTTGTGACAAAACAGTTTTGATAGCTACTTCTGCACACACAACCAAGTTAGTTGTTTAACATAAATCAGTGCTTCACACCAGGTGAGCCTTAAATGTTGCAAAAGATCAAATATACTATTTTTGGAAACAAAGATAATTTGGTCATTATAGTTATTAATTAATAGCCCTTTGTACAGAAGACTTAATGAATCATCTGTGTGCTTTAGTGTACCTACTGCAGAATATGAAAGTATTCACAGGAAAAAAGTTACAGAAAAGTCTAGAAGTTCTGACAGAAAGTCATAAAAGGAGCTATGGAAAAAAATATTCCTAGTGGAGGGAAGTGTTTAAGAAAATAATTCAGTTGACCTCAATGTGACTTAATACAGCTTTATTTCACATCTTAGGCTCTGGTGATTTCTAGAGAATATCATTTGGAATAAATTGAGCATTCAGACTAAAACCATGCAGACTAGACAAAGTCTTCCAAACTATAAATTTCAAAACAGCACTCATTGCTTTTTCTGGCACATTCAAGCCTCAGTTTGCCCTTGGAATGCAAACAAAAATTTCCTGCAGATTGCAAACTGATGTTGAATATAGACATGCAAGTGTGTAGTCAGAGCATGTGACTATGTAATTATTTCTATTGCATTCATTTGCATAAAAGTATACAGTGTATTTGAGTTTATTTTTTCTCCCTTTCCTATAAAAAAAAAAGAATAGAAATAATATTTTCAGAAAATTATTTTCACAGTTCATCTGAATAATCACAACAATGCACTCAAATTCTCAAATTTGTTCTCTTTCAAAGACATACAGTACCTTTTGATTAAGGGGAGAGAGAAGAAAGAAGGGAAGAATAATAAAATACATCCTAAGCACAACAGACTACTGCATTAGCTGCCATACCAGAAAATGGTCTTTTGGTAGCTATCCATTAAACTTCACTGACAAAATGTAGTGCAGACTGTGCTATTTTCCAACATACTTTAAATTCTGTGAGCTAAATCTGTGGCCTGTCTGACATGGCTTATGAAGTTTTTTATAATACTACATTGAACACATGAAAGAGGTACATATTTAGAATTATAGCAACATCTCTTAAAAGCAATAAATAATTTGTAAAGATTGTTTTTTTGCATGGGTAAAATAGCATTCTGTTATAACACTATAGTTTTTGATTTTTAAAAACTGCTTTCATGAGCCTTAGTTCCGTTGGGAATATAATTACTGCTGTCAGCACACTTTGGAGGGTTACATAAAAAGGCTTTAAATATCAGCACGAGAGTGGTGCTTTCGTTCAGTGAGAGTGCACAGCAAGAAAACTTTGGCACGTGAAAGTTTTGAATTCCTATATCAAACATGCTATATAGCTCAACACGTGGTTAATAACTGATGAGATAATTTGTGTATGCGGACAAAGTTTATTATTTTTAAGGCATGAATAGTGACTTAGGCCATAAACAAAGGATCCCATTTTCTGTGCTAAAAATACTTAGGAATAACTCTGGATGTGAGAAAAATAATGTGTTTTTGAAATTACACTTCATGTTAAGTTAAATATGGGAATATATCAAAGAGTAATCATTTTCTGATTATTTTTCCTTCACCTACTCGGTTCTTAGTGATTAGATTTTACCTGTATCTGTTCTGTAGTACATTATTAACTTTTTTTTTTCTTTTAATGGAAATTACAGTTTCATTTGCCACCAGTGACATTTCAGCCTGTAAGAACAATTCATCTTGCTCTTCTAGAGGAAAATTTTGTCAATGGAAGCACCAAGATCAGAAATATCTTCAATATTATGAACTTTATTCCTCAGCCTGTAAAACCAGCTAACAAATTTTATCAGTATCAGTTAGACAATCTATTAAAAAGAGACGCTGAAAAGTCAAAGTCTTCAGGTCTGATTGTGGCTACTATTTATGATAAATTCACTCCAACAGAAGACCTGTGCTGCTTCAGCAAGGATAAATATAAGTACTCTAGTGACACCAAAGAAGAAATTGAAAACTATTTGAAATGGAGGGAAGCTGATGTAGCTACCAATATTGAAAAGAATGACCAGATGAAGCATCAGTTTTCAGTGGCTTGTAAGGACGTAGATATTATGACCCAAGTCAGTTATTGGGATGATAGCTCTTCCTACTTCAGCTCAAGTTACACTGTGATAAACTGTGGAATATTTACAGCTCTATGTCCTGTGTCAAACAACACAGACACGTTAAGAGCTGGCGAGAAGGAAAAAAGAGTGGAGAATTCCTGCACAACTGCTATAGGAGGAGATGTTCCAGAAATGACAGTGGGTTATATACCCTGTGAAGATGCTGAGGGCATGAACTTCATGCTTGGCAACCATGATTTAGTTTCTTCCTGTACAAATGAAGTGATAGAGGCCTACCATGCCTTAGAAGGTAACTCTGGAGCTGCAGTCGTTCCCAGAGTGCAAGATTGTTCTGGAAAACAAACAGAAAATAATGTTTGTCTTCTTGATTTTGAAAAGAAAAAAGAAGCAACGCAAGAAACTACTGCAAAAGATCAAAGTGAGCTTGTACCTGTTGCTCATGTTATGTTCTCTGAACAAAAACCAGCCAAGGAACCACACGTTGCTAAATGTCCTGCCGGGAGAAGGGGTGTCATTCGTAGCCTCCCTCCTCGTGCTAGTCAGAGCTGCAATGTTCCTGCTCACAAAGAAAATGACAAAGGTGAGATAAAGATGAATAGAAACAAACATTCATCAAAATCTAAAATAAGTAGCAAGATAAAGATAACTGAAGGAGTAATTGTTTCTGATGAGATTTCCACAAAATATAATACACAAGAGATGAATGCCAAGAATCGGATTTTTCCATCTTTGCGTCTGCCATGCATGGAACCTGAGACTTCCCTAAAATGTCAGAAAAAAATACCTCAAGCAAACAAATACCATTTTCCTCAGAGTGATCAAAAACTTAAAAAGCAAAGTTTCTCCCGTTGCCAAAATCCAGTTATTTTAAAGAAACCTGTTACTCCTCTTTCTCTACCATGTGCACAGTCTGCTTCAGATTTTGTACATCTGAAATACAGTGACATGTTCAAGAAAATAAATTCAAATGACAATGGTCCAGGTATTTACGAAATGTTTGCAACTCCAGTCTATTCCCACATGCGTGAGCTTGATCAACACAAGAACAGTTTTTACAGAGATGTTTGTTCTGCTCCACCTGGGAGATGCGCTGCTAGCACCTGCAGATCTACCTGCAATAAAAGGAGAGAGGGCAGCCAAGTAAGAAACACTCAAAAGAGAACGTATTCTAAGCCAAAGAAGACCGTATCTGGTACCAAAAAAAAGCAGAAAAGCTTAATTCCAAAGGACAAAAGTATCAAATTGAGTGATTGCAGCACAGAGCAAGATAATGTAAAAACTTCTGGTCCAGATTGTCAAATACAGACTCCAAGGAGCATGTCGCTGGTTTGTGGAGACTTAGATGATCAGCTTATATTTTTAGAAGAGCTTTCACAATCAACCAGACAAAATAAAAAAAATTCAAGTTCAAAGTTATCTCCTATTACAGAAGTCTCTTTGGAGAATTCTTTAGACAGTCAGGATCTATCCAACCATCAGATAGCTTCTACCTGTAGCCAGAATCTTCTTCAGTTCAGTAATAAAGACTACACAGAATGTGCTGCTGAGCGCAGCAGTTCATTTACTGACCAGAACAATTGTGTACCCCAGTGCAGGGTGGATAAGGACGGCTGCACAGGCCTAGGATCAGACCAGACCTCCTTCAGGACTATAAACCCACATGAATCATTGCACTTTTCAGACAGTCTGCAGTGTCAATCCCTTGCAAAAAAATTAAGTCAGAGTTGGGCATACACACCTCAGGGCAGCAGTCTGGCAAATGAATTGACTCAGCCTTCAGTGATTCAGGCAACAAATGTTACAAGTCCCAGTTTCCAGACAAGTCAAAACATTTTGTCCTGGGCAGGTACAAAGGACATGACTGACGAGTTGCTTTGTTGTCTGGCTGCAGAATTGCGAGTGCTTGAAGAAAAAGACATCAACTCTGCAAGAACAAAAATTGCAGATTCTAAAATGCAGAATGCCCATACGAAAGAAGGAAATACGATGAATGGAGATGGAGAAATAGTAAATAGTGCTCTAGTGAAGGTAAAAATAACTTCTTGTAACTTGCTAGATCCTTTGGGTGATGCTCCAACACAACTGTGGATGAACGATGAGTCATGATGTTAACAAAGAACACAGTGTTTAACTGAAGTACGGGTGATGTGTGCTCATTAATGATCGGGTCTCTTCTCCTTGGGCTGTCCACTGCATCTTCTGGTACCCAGCTGAGGACACCCATGTTAGATGCTGCCTGTCTGACACAAGGCAGATGGTGTTCAGGCATGACAGAGATAGACAGCGAGGAGGCAAGTTTCTGTTTCAGGAGCTGTTGTATCAATGTGCCAGGCAATGATTGTATGGGGGGGAGGAGGAAGAGAAAGAGTGAGAATCATGCCAGGTGAAAGTTACTCCTTATAAAAAATGTAATGATAATATGAAGCTTTTTTTTTCCCCCTTGCTTTCTCCTCACGCTGCCCATCATCTTTCAAGCAGAGTTACAGTAGAGCCTTTTGGGGATCAAATGAAGAAAGAGACCTGCTAAACTTTGAGGAATCCACTGAAGTGCACGGAAGCATTTTAACTAACAAGGATACTATCATGTGGACGAGGGGTGAAGTTCTTGGAAAGGGAGCCTATGGCACAGTAAGTTAAAGTCTCAGTATGTTAAGAGATGCACTGATCATCTCAGAGCTACATCTCACCTTGCAACTGTCTGTTGTCCAGTGCAATAAATAAATATTTTTGATTATGCAGTGAAACGACAAACGGAAATATACCCTGTAAAATAAGTGAACATACACTTTTATTCATCTTTCATTTTAATAACTGCTAGTTTCGTTGTAGGTATACTGCGGTCTGACAAGCCAGGGACAATTAATAGCAGTAAAACAGGTTGTTCTGGATGCATCAGATCAACTCACTACAGAAAAGGAGTACCAGAAGTTGCATGAGGAAGTCGATCTTTTGAAGACACTGAAACATGTCAATATTGTAACTTACTTAGGAACTTGTCTGGAAGATAACATTTTAAGCATTTTCATGGAGTTCGTTCCTGGTGGCTCAATTTCTAGTATTATTCATCGGTTTGGTCCATTGACAGAAATTGTCTTTTGTAAATACACGAAACAAATTCTAGAGGGGGTTGCATACTTGCACAGCAATGGTGTGGTGCACAGAGATATCAAGGGCAATAACGTTATGCTCATGCCAAGCGGTGTAGTAAAGCTGATCGACTTTGGCTGTGCCCGGCGCTTAGCCTGGGCCAGCCTCAGCGGCACACACAGCGAGATGCTCAAGTCCGTGCACGGGACTCCGTACTGGATGGCACCAGAAGTTATAAATGAGTCTGGATACGGAAGGAAATCGGACATCTGGAGCGTTGGCTGCACCGTGTTTGAGATGGCAACAGGAAAACCACCGCTGGCTTCCATGGACAGGATAGCTGCCATGTTCTATATCGGGGCCCACAGAGGGCTGATGCCTTCCCTGCCTGACCGATTCTCGGGAGCTGCAGCGGACTTTGTGCATGCGTGCTTAACCAGGTATGTGGATTTTTAGGTGAAAAAGAAAAGGAAAAATGCACATAGTGTGTGTGGAAGCTTAGGCTATCTTAAATGGCACATATGGCTGTGTAGAAGAATTGTACTGTAAATCCTTAGGTTTTACAGCATTTCAGGAAAGCCATTGAATAGCAGTATACATAAAAGAGATTTACTCTCCATAATGGTGTTAAAAATAGTCACGTGTTCTTTTTGAGGGGACCTTATGCACAGCGTTTACTTTTCCTGTAATTTTCATGCAGAAACATGTTACCGTTGCATTTTAGACAAATGCTGGCTTAATTCTTAATCCTTGGATTAGAATTGTTATGGTCCCTGTGGACCATATAACAGTAACCAGAATAACTGTTGTCAGTAAATAGCAATATCATAGAAATGTTGATTCAGAGATACTAGTAGTTAAAAGATATCAGGAGTTGTTAGGGAGAAGGAAATATACAAATAGAAAGATTTTTAATACAGTATTTTTTTTCCTTTTTCTTTTAAATGATGCATCTTTAGCGGCAAAATTTTAATATATGATCTCACCATGTCCTAAATATAAAACACCTTCCTCATCCTGTCTTTCCTATTATTTTTTTTACTTAAGAAATCAGTGCCTTTTATTGTTTCCCTTGTTTCACTTTTCTCCAAGTTGAGGGTTGAAAAAAAACAAACTCCTTGATTCTTGCAATGCTATAAGCCCAAATGGCCTCCTTAACATGAATCATGTTGACTGGAGATGACAAAACTGACTGACACAAGGCCAAACAAATAATTACATGTTTCTTAAATACACTTTTTGTGCACATGAAATAGTTGAATAAGAATTATTCCAAGTTTTGGTAGGAATTCAGAGGAGCAAAGAAAGATTTTTGTAATAAGTTATTTCACTTTTATAAGTCATACATGGTAACAATCTCTTCCCCTAAATTCTGCCTTCCTTTCTACCAGCTTTATAAAATACAAAACAAAAAACTGAAAAGGAGTAATGACAGCAGAGTTAAGAAAAAAGCCTAAGTTTGTATTTAAATTTTACAAATAATTACATTACAGGAATGCATATTCATTTTATGTACTGATTTTTCAAACCCTCAATGCAGAGATCAACATGAACGCCCTTCTGCTCTGCAGTTGCTGGACCATCCCTTTGTGAAAGGAAGACAGTGAATTTTTCAAAACTCCTGCCAAACCAGTTTACCTTTCACACAAAAGAAGATTTCCTCCTGTGGAAAACATCAGAAGGAACTGGACTTAAAAGTGACAGCCGAACTTACTAGAGGTAAATTTGTAGACAAGAAGGCTATTTTTAGGCGGTGATTAACATTTTTTGTGATGTCTGTGCTCATTGGAATGGGTATTCCTTCGCTGTGAACACAGGGCTGTACAATTTGTTGCATTTGAGGAGACTTAAAAAAACCACTCCACAACACTATCACCAGTCCGTGACAAGCAAGGTAAGTTGGGAGTGCCAATTTGTCTGTAAAAGCCTTTGGAAAACATGGTATCAGCAGAAAGCATTGCAGATTCAGAAAGCTCTACTCAGACTCACAGATGAGTGTTTAAATGTGCCTGTAATCTCAGGAAAATGCCAAACCATGTGGTTATGTTGGCATAAAACATACTGATGCTTTTGTTTAGGTAGATGTGCCTTTCAATTTTAGCTGGTGGAAAGAACCACACAACTAGTCTGTACACACGTATCAATCCTTTTTATCCTTTGCTGCTGAGGTTTATCAGCTACAAGATACTGGAGTGATAATGAGAAGAGATGCCCAGTTGTACACAGATGTATCCTTATGGAGCTTACATCAAGATAATTTCTTAATCTCTCTGGAATTATGAATCAGAGATTTGAGATTGTCTTTTCTGGAGATGGCCCTGTCTAACCCCACTGCTAAGGCAGCCCTCGGCCATTTGGCTTTTGCATATTGCCAAGGGTGGAGTTGTTTTTTTTTTTACAGGTAGTTAGTGTAACTAGCTACTACCTACTAGTAACAATGTAATGAAACACTATTTGAAGAATGTTATGATATATCAATAATAATAATTAAAAAAAAAGATTCAGCCTAGTAATAGGCTGTCCTCTTCCTGATGGGGCTTCCTTCTCAGTATATTTAAGATTTCAGGGGAATAGAACATTGCAGAAACTATTAAAATGGGGTGAATCTCTTGTGAGCACCTAGTTTCTAGGAAGACGTAGTAAAACTCAGCCCTAGAACTTTCAAGGGCTGAGCCCTCAAGAGTTCAAGACTCTGACTCTTGTACCAACAGCGAATTCAAAAATGGTTGCTTTACAAAACAAAGAAGGAAAGCAACAAACAGTTTTGGTTTATATAAGATCAGCTTCCCCCAGAGTGCTTAGCATTTTAGTTACTTAAATAGCTTTCAAATTTTATCTTATTCCAGTAGCCTGACTTCAGAGAGCAATTTGGTCTAAACTTTATAAAAATGAAGAGAAATCAGTAAGTACTTTTAGCAAAACTCTTTATTTGTTTAGTTTCTGTAGGTATGATGTCACATAACAGACAGAGCATTATGCCATTATGAGAGAAATCCTAGCATCAGAGTAATCTTCCAATCTTAAACAGTTATCAGTCCCATTTTGAGGAATACCGCTTGGTCCTCATGCCAAAATCCATGGCAACTTGAGTATCTTCACATTAAAGTACCTTGCAGAAAAAAAGGTAGGAGCCCTGGCACGTGAACTCAAGTGAGATGTACGTAACTCCAAGGTGTATATTAATTCTTCCTAGATTAAGGGAGTGTTTCCAAAAAAAGCTGAAAAGTAAATATGAATTTTTATTTAGCATGAAATGATACTGCGATGACAGTCACAAGTGGGGAAAGAATGGGAATGCTCGAGGATATGCAATTAATTCGAATTTTCAGAGCTATGAATCCTCCTCCTCATGCATGTCTTATAACCGAAACTAAGATCCGTTAGAGTGTGAGTTCTCTAATGTTAGGGTTAGTAGTTATTTGGAATTTAAATGTAATGTTTAGTCCAGCTACACTAACATTAATTTTCAACTTTTTAAAAAAAAAGGTTTAAAGTTTTTAAGACAAGACTCTGAGGTTTTTTACTTGTTTAACCAGATTTAGAGAATGAGGGTATTATTTAATGCCAGCACTTGCAAAAAGTTTTTCTTTCAGCTTAAGCGTACTTGAGAACAGGGGATATGTGCTCATGTACCAGCCCTGTTCTCAGCACAGCTTAACCAAGAAGTATGTTGATGTAGGGAATCTTGGGCATTGCGTAGACAAGTCTAACTTTGCGTATTTCTTACTTAAGGAGATATAGATGTTTCACATCAAAATCCAGATACCTGTAATGAGGCATCTAAGCTGATAAGGAGATAATTTTTTTAAATCTTCTTAAATCTTTATTTTTAATGAAAAGTGCCTCACTGAAAAGAGACATGCTTTACAATTTACAGTATTTGAGTAGGACAAACCTTATTTATTTTTTTGAATTTGCTGCCTTCATTTCTAAAAAACAGAGGCCAGAAGCAAAACAGCAGTGAAGACCCCACTGTAAAGTATGCAGGCTACCAAGCAGCAGGTACAGCCACTTTGCTGTAATGCTAAGTTTCCTCAACATTTAGAGTTTAATACAAGCATATGAAAGTATGTGTCCCTTTATCACTGTAGGGGATACCTAGTATATTTTTCTTATTGTATACAGTAATATTTAAAGCTCTGAGCTCTGTTCAGGAGTTAGATTTTGTAGGTGTGCCAGCCCAACTATTCTGCACTGGGCTTGAAACTACAACCACCCATGACATAAAAATTTGCATCTCAAAATACATTTATCGACCGTACTTCTCAAGGAAGCAGACATCAAGCTCAGAAACCCACAGTCTTTGGAGATTCAGGTTCAAAATTAGCACCAACTTGCACAGCTTTCTCACAACTTCTGGCAGGAACTGCTGCCATTATCTACAGCCCTTTCTAAATTCCAGTTTTTGCACGTAATCCAAAAAGGCCAAAAGTTCTCCCCTGAGGAAGGGATTCAAGCACTCAGAGTAGAGTAAGTTTTCTCCCCTAAGAAAGTTTACTTTGCTTTACTTTTTTTGCTTTTACTTTTACTTTACTTGCCCAAGGCAGCCTCAGGAACTGCAGTTTACAGGTATTGCCAAGGAACACAAAACTTCTGAACTACAGTAAGAAAAAGGGTGCAGTTTTGAGTACAGGAACACCTAGGAATCAAAACCAGGTACTTCCAGCTTTTTAGTTTAGAGAGTTGAATTGGGTTTGCTACATCCACCTCCGGAGAAGTCAGAGAGAGTCATTCTCCACAGCAATATGAGAGAAAACTCCTGGTGTTATTTTTTAATTTAAAGTATACAGAATTAAGCATTTCAGAGAACGAATGAATTAATTAGCTAGTTCACCTTTCAAGTCTTTTAAGATGTATTTTTAGAATTCATTTCTGGAACATGTGTTTACATTGCAATTAAAGAAAGCAAAGAACTTGTTTGCTAAATTCCCCTTTAAGCAAAACTGACTGGGAACCTTTCCCCTGTGGTCTTACAGAGACAAAAAGCTGTTGTCACCACCCTCTCCCCTCCGTCCCCTCCCATTCACTAAAAGGAAAAGCTATCAAGTATGGCCAGCCACTGCACGCTGAAGTTACATGGTACAGGCTCATAGACCCAGGCTGGATAAGAAAACATACATGCATCTCTTAAGATGCTGTAAAGTGTCTAGGTTTTGCTTTTCTGGCACGCAAACAGAATTTGCAGCGTGTTCCTAAGCCTGAGCACCATAACATGAAGGAAGCAAGGGAAACAAGTTATACGTAGAACTTTAAAGTAATTTACTATTTGATTGTTTTGATGGAAAACAGTGTTTTTGCCAATAATTAACAGGGATCTGCACATGAAGTTGGAAAATTAAACAGGAAATGGGATAATTTCTGCACAATAGAGGTGAGGTAGGGAATTTTATTGAAAATACTTTTTTTTTTTTTTTTTTTTTTTTTACAATTTCTTAGAAATAAAGTTTCTTTCTAATCTCACACAAATGGCTGTACCTCAAAAATTCAACTATGCTAATATGAAACATTTATATTTACAATTTGCCAAAAGAATATACAGAACTGCTGTTTTATGCAAATACCGAAGTACCAGATCACAGTGAGATACATTACTTCAGCACTCCCACCATTAGGAACAGAATTAAGTTTCAACATACAAAAGAATCTCACTATTCTACAAACCTTGTATCTCACAAAAAGGGAATATTTTTAATAGTGTCATAGCAAGGTCTGCACTAAAGCTTAATTTTACAAAATTACATAATGCATGTACTCAATTTACAACAAAAAACTTGTAATCGGTGATGAACAGAGTAATAGTGTCATCTGTTAGCCTTTTATTGCATTTATTCAGTCATTCACTTGGGAGGTTGAGGCTGATCAGTGAGTGAATTTTCACTCCTTTCAGACACCTCAGCCAGGCCCCAGTTCACACGATTCACTAATTGGCAGTGGGTTTCGGTCAGGGAACATCAGTGGCATCTCGCTGCATGTCCTCTCCCTTCCTCTCACCCCCTACTCCCACCACACTGAATTTAGTTCCGGACACAAAGACAAATACAGTTTCACATATTTACAGTCACATTGAAAATCAAAACCAATGACTTGTATGGATATTCTTTACAGAGAAACCAAAAATCAGTTCGGATCTCAATGTAGCATAGCAACATTTTGTCCACAAGGTTTCACAATTTCCTAGAATCAAAATAGGAAATAGTTATTTTGAAACAGCACCTTAAGATGAAGACCTATGCTCTTTTCCAATTTCTATTAGACAGGCACTAGTTATCATCCAGACATTTCAACTCCAACTTATGACAGGAATTGCTATATTTACAGTACAATATATTGCTTATCCAAAGTGGCTGTGTAAGATGCATTTAATGGCACAACTATTTAAACAGACTTGAAAAGCAGTGTAGTGCTTTAAAAGAAGAGCAGTGTAGTGCTTTAAAGACAAAATGTAGACAACTTACTGCTTTTTCATCCATCTGCCCATGCTATAGCCTAGGACAGTACATAATGCAGATTACATTTGCTAAAAGCCAGATCTAAGAGTAGAGCTGAGATGGAAAGGAAACAGACTACAAAAGGATAGAAAATACTCAACAATGCAGAAATGTAACAAAGGGTTTAAATACATTCTGAACAGAGAAAATCAACCACAGTAAGGATAAGACAGCTTTGCGTTTTGTACATGGGCCAAGATTTCAGGTTAGATTTAGCAGAAGATGCCATCAGGTTTCCATTTAAATATTCCTTAGTGTAAAAAAAAGTATCCATAGTTCATTCAAATAAAACTTATTCAAGTAATTACAAGCGTTTGCATTACTGGAAAGAGAGTATTACATAGTAATTGATATACCTGTATCATACAGCAACTACCATCTGGGTAGGTTTTGAGCAGTTTTCATCATTTAAAGCACGCTTGAGTAACACAACTGGAAGGGCTAGGTGCCGGGTCTGACATCTGAGATGACAGAATTACACAAGCACGAAGTGAAGGAGGTGGCTTAGCAAAACTAGCAAAAGCCTACTTCACATCCTGTTTGCTTCTGAGTTAAAATAAGTGACTAAGAACTGTCTGTTGCTACCATATACTGAGTTTGTGTTGAGGTACTTCATAGCTTATGAATAGTTTTGAGTAACAACCCAGAAAGTCAGTTCACTTATCCAGGCTGAGCTGTAGTATTGGCTTTGAGAACACGTGAACATTCACACCTGTCATATACTTTGAAACACTGTGGAAAGAGCACACAAGCTGTAACACTGACACTTGCAGGCAGATAAAAATGTATGCTAGTGGTTTAACTGGGAGACTGATTTTTTTCCCCACAGAGCTGAAAAAACAGAACAAGTATCTTCCAATTTGGTAACTAATGACAAGTACAATGCACAGAATCAATGATAACTATTTTATTGTTGGAATATAAAGTTGGGATATCAATAGTTTTATTCTTATTTACTGTGAAGACTGCATTCACCTGTAAAAGAAATATGGCATCACACACAAGTACACTTTTTGGATTTCAGAACATGGATATTATTCTGAAATGGTAATGGGAACAGTGACTCCTGTTTACTATTAAAATAAATTATGACTTCTTAAAAAAAGATGATTTTCCCACCATGACAGTTAGGAATTGCAGTTAAGTCACATTAAATCTACATAACCATTATTAACAGCTCTGTGTCTATTTTACTGCATCAAGCCAATAAACATTTAAATGCACTTCACATCAAGATATTATGTAAACTTTTATTTTAATTCCTTTTTCCTTCAAGAAATTAGGGACATTTCAAAGCTCTGGCCACAGTCAGCAAGCAGAGGCCCACCCTGTTTCCTGCCTCGCGGGTAATACTGTCTGGTGGAGACCCTACATGGTACTGGATACCTTCTCTAGTGAAGTGTCCCTTTTAAGTGGCTTCCAATAAGGCCTACAGTTTATAAAGATAAACAAGACAAAGTGCCATCTCGGTTTGGGTAACTGATGGACTCTGACAAGATAAAATAAAGTTATGTGTATTTTGTTATACTTACAAGCAGCTCCAATCCTGAGTATTTATGGTATATCTAAACATACAAAAATGTATGTACATTTTTCTCCACTTTCTTGTAAACAGTTGTCAGTATACTGTTTTAATCCCTTTATCTTCAAAACATGCAAATCATACATACAGTATAAATACACAAGAAAACAATTACACTCATTCAAAAACTAAGCAACAAAAAAGTTGTGGCTGCGGTACTCAAAATTATAAATAATCAATGCTCGAGGCATCCTATGCACCTAAAAGCAGACGTTCATTCTACTGTTCTTAGCTGCAGTTGTAGAAATACTGAGATTTTTTGCACCTTCCATGCTATTACAGTATTTATAACACTATCATATGTGGAGATAAAGACTCGTTTACTATACCTCTTCTTTTCAGAGTGAAGGATAAAGCAGCACTTACATATACTGAAACCACGGCAGCAACAGCTGGTGTTGCCACTGCTAGAGTAGGAAGTTTTCCGTTCTAACAATTCTTAAATTAAAAAAAAAAAAGAAAAACAACCTAAGAATCGACTACATGTTCATTCCTTGGGCACTTAACAGCGAATCCAGCATGTCGAATGTGTCTTTGTAGTCCATATGCTGGCTGTTTGTACTGTACTGGTGATGGGCATCAGGACCGTTCTCCACTGGCTTCTTGTCCAGTTTCACGAGGGTGCTGAGATGTCCGTAGCCCACCTGGTATGTGACAGGGGGAGGAGGGGGTAAGGGAAGGTTAAAAACAGAGCTGTGAGAGGATACATACTGCTTAACAGAGGAAGAACTAGATGAACTACCTGAACTTTTGGAACTTTTGCTCATTTTGGAGTGGTGGTTGTGAGAAGCATCGTTGCTGTGTAACCTCTTCCTTGACGAGCCGGAACTAGAGGAATTGCCGTCACTACTCAGGCCAACGGGGCTCCTCAGAGCAGTCGGTGTTAAGCCGTCAGCACTATGCTTACTGCCGCCACTGCTGCTGCCACTGTGCGAGTGGGAGTGCTTGTGACCCATGCTGTGGTGGCGATTTAAGGAGTGGTCTTTGTGCTTCTCCTTGTGTTCCTTGCTAACGTGTGGACTGGAGTGCTTACTTTTTCCACTGCCCTCATCCGATGAGCTATGTCTTTCTGAGGAGGAAACTTTAATTTTCATTTTCAGCTCCTCCTTACTGGCACCCTTTTCTGTGGGCGGGATGGGTATGCGCAGTTTGAGCGAGCCTCCCTTTTCTTTTTTATCAGACACGTGTTTTTCAGGCTTCTCTGCGTTCGTGATGGGGATTTTCATTTTAATAGGAGACGTAACGGAAGCACTGCTGGCTGTCTGCGCCGGCATGTGTTTTTTGTGTGGCTGTTCGCCTGGGGTTGCTACGTAGTGTTCTCTCACATCCAATTCAAGGGTTTCTAGTTTGCGTTTCTCTCTGTATTTATCCAGAGACATTTTCTGAGGAATTATTACGGGAGCAGCAACTTGTCCGTGGTGTTTGTTTCCTGACTTATGAGAATACTCTTGCTTGACAGCAGAATGCTCGGCAAGTTTGTCGGGTCTGTGATGTACTCCCGAGTGCAGCTGTACAGACGTCCCTGGCTGGAAGTTCATGTTATACTGACTAGGAGGTAATGTCTCCTGTTTCTGAGAGTATATTTGTTCTGTCCTGTTTTGTTCTTGATGCTGAGGCCATTCCTGGTGGGATGCCAAATTGTATGAGGTACTTGGCATCCCTGTTGTTAGTATTGCCAAATTTTCAGGTGCATGACTATCTGGAACAGAAATACTTCCTGAGGTCAGAGGTACCGGTGCAGGAAATGATGTCGATGGTTTTTGGAAACTTGTATTTGCGGCCACACCAGTAACTGTATCCACCAAAATGGAATTCTGGACCAAAGACGAGCCAAGAAGCGAGTTCTCGGATACCTGCCCATCACCTTTAGGTTTCCTAGCAGCCTGGTTAGCCTATGCAGAAAGGAAACAAGTGAGAAAATACACAGCTTAGAATACTTGTAAAGAACATCCAGTTTAGCTCAAAGGAGAGGATAAAAGCTGACTCAAGGTTTCATCCCCCAGTCCAGCTACAGGAATAAAGAACAAACAGGATAAACCTCCTTTTTTTCCCTTGATTCATAGTTCTCCTACAAGTTCATCATTCCTTTTGGCTAAATTGTTACAGGAAAATTTCTTACCCGCCAATTTCTAATTCTCTTCAGCCTGCTAGGTGTTTTTTCCAGTATTTGCAGAAACTCGTGCGTTAGTTCTGGGTAGAAAAACAACAAAAAAAAAATATATAAAATATCTGATTCTGTAATAAGCAGGTTTGCCTTCAATCAGTTTTCTAGACAAACAGCATACTGCTTTAGCGGTACAGGTTACACATGACTTGAATTGATATTTAATCAAAAATCTTGTTTGATAAGTGCTGAACAAAAATGGCTGCAGTATTTCACCACAACAGGCTTTAACCACTACATGCATTCTGAAAAGCAGATCCGCGTTTAAGATTTATACTCTTGCAGAGTCTGTATTTATTAGACCAAAAATTTCTAGAGCTGTACAAACAGCAGCTCTTAAAATAACACATTTGCCATCCAGCTTAAGCATTTCTTGCGTGACGTTAAATTTCCCTTAAAATCTAAACCTCTAAGTCACCATTTCAGTCATTTCACTGAACTTCAGGAGCAACCAGTAACAGATCTGGGCAAAACATCAGCCATGGGACCGTAGGAAGCACTATTTTAAACAACAGGTTTCAGTTCATTTGTGTTCAAGGCAAAGCAGCTGGTTGTGTTTAAAAAAAAGTCCTTGCAATTAGTAGGCCCGCAAGGAAACCTAGGGCTCTACACTTGTCAGCTGCAACAAAAATACTTTCAACTGAAATTTTGTGTTACTCGTAAGCTAAAAATAAATTAGGTACAGTCAGAACTCAAATGGGAGAGTGGCTCTGTTGCAGGTCTGGAAGAACTGGCTCCTCCAGAACCCCACAGCAGGTCACAAACCAAGTTGCTCCTAAGTGCAAAAGCACCTCACCACTTCAGTCTGCTCCCACATCTTTGCTTCAGACACCAGCTCCACAGACACTTACAGAGTTAAGCAGTGGTCACTGCAGGCTCGCAGCACACATCTCACAGGATTTTAAAAATTACAAGGATGCATGCCTACCAAACACACACAGGCGACAGACAGCTGAGAAGGCAGGGTAGTGGCTGAATTTGAAGGGACAGCTTAAAAGAATCCTAAGACAGAGCCATTTGAGCTTGCAATTTCAAGCTCACTCAGGTGCTGTGATTCATGTGGCACCTACTCTGGTTTGCGTTTTCAAAATATACTCAGGCCATTAAGAAATGAAAGCTCAGCCAACAGGAAGAGCACGTCACGGGGAGCTATGCTGGGCTGTACCACGCCTGGAGGCTTCCATCAGCACCTCTCTGAAATAATTCTTCGCTCTAGAACTACAAGCAAAGCCCAATGGATGTGAGCCCCCCAGAAATCACCACCTACATAAGGCAGCTACAAAGGCCGTAAGTTCAGGCCCCACTGCAGTAAGTGCCATTTCTGCCTTCTAAACCCTATAATCCACAGAGCAATAGGATAGCACACAGGTAGTACTGGGTAACAACACGGAAAGCAGGGTCAGAACAAAAGCTAGTAAGACGTCTAGGCGTATGGTCTTCTAAGCGTGTTTTCTTCCTGAAAGAAGCCATTTAACAACAAGAAAACTATTTCTGCAGGAGTTTGAGGTATCATAGGCTCTGCTTACGTTAACACAGAATTATGTTTGTTGATGTTAGATTTATGTAGTTTTAAGAACGGCTGTCTCAGTGACACTGTACACTTGAACACCTGTGTACATAAAATTATCTGGATTCCATGGATTTGCCAAGATGCTCCTCTATCTGTTTTCCCTGTCTTGGAAAGCCCTAAAAAGCCAACCTCTAGCCTGTACCTAACAAAAGGTCTGTGCATATCCCAGCTCACATATTGAAATCAGAAGGGTCTCAGAACTATCCTCCTAAGCTCTTCCCTCTCCTATACCTTCCTCATACCTGAGGACTCTCAGCACGAAGTCAGTGAAACTTATTTTAGGCTTAAAGCTATGCTCTTACTATGCTCTACTCCTATTCTTAGGGACATTATCAATAAGCACTTGAAACTCAGATGTGGAAAGGCAGCACTACTTACCATCCAGCAATTCCAGAGTAACCGAAGGATCCACATATTCCCACCAGTGTTTCCCATCAGTCGATACTGGAATCTCCCAGTTAGACCACTTGCAGGCCAAGTGAATGCACACACATGCTATCACCGTAGGCTTGTATTGAAGACAGAATGTAGTAAGGTGAAGACTGTTGCATAAATTTCATAATGAGGAACCAAAGGAAATCAAACATGTAAAATAAAAAAAAAACAACAACAAATCAACCATTAACACACAGCATAAGATAATTTGTCAAGTAACAGCAGTTAAACATTAATTCAAGGAACATATTTTGGATTAAGTTCTTAATATATCTTGCTGCCCTAACAAAACAAAGGATAGGGCATTTATCTGCAGAAAGTTTAATTTGCCTTTTCTATAAAAGCGTGGTTAACAGTAAAGAAATTTACCAATTATTATACTGTACTTAAGTACTAAGAAAGAAATTAGTATAATATGGTCAATTAAATTCTACCTACAGTAAAAAAAAGAAAAAACAAAACACCATACAGCTCATTATGCAGCCTCCAAATTAGTCTAGTAAATGAAGGTACACCCAAGTTCGACAGAGGCCCAGTGAATTACTTGTCAGCTTAGCTTTAACTAGGCCAGAACCTGTGATATTTGTGAACTCAGCTTCAGCTTCCAGCTGGCACCAGCACAAAGGCATTGGTTCAGTATCACCACTTTATCACAGCTTATCTTAACAGCTGCTTCAAATACAGAATCCTGCCCGCTAAGGAACCCCCAGAAAATGCTTGGCTGGAAGACTTCTGACCAACCAGTAGTAGATATTACTTAAAACTTAGCTACATACAGTTTAATTCTGATTAAATAAAGCTCAAAGTTGTCTTGCAAGAAATAAATTGGAATAATCAAGAAATCAATACTGAAGTCTGCTCTCAAATTTTATCTTTCTACAACAGGCTACCCATATACAATCCCCATCTGGAATCCTTTAACTTAAATTTAATACAAGTACTTAAGTTTTCAAACTGTATATTAAATTTAAAGAGCTGTTTCTAAAAGGAAGAACATTGGACTACTTCTAGTATATTGGAAAAGAAAAATCAACTGGTTGAAAAGATCTTAGGCCCACTACGATTTTATAAGTTAAGATTGGATCAATATATTTAAAGTTAAGAGAAAACTGCCATTAACTACAAGTGTAAACTGGAAATAGTTTTGTACTTACCAAGATGCTCGAATTTCTAGGTTAAGTTTATCTCTTTGTAATCTTTAGCTGCTATTCAGGCTACCAATTTTAGACTTATGCACTCACAATCGAGAAAATGTCATCAGAAAGCACCACTACACTTCTCATTGTGCATTTAACCCCTTTGTGCCGTCAGGCCCTTGTACAATACACCGCACTGCAAACAGAAAGGTACCACCACTGTAGATGGCCCAGTCTCCTGTTGCAACAAGGGTAAGACACATGTAGGGGGCCCTGCAGTAAAGGAAGCTATAGTGTGCTACAACAGTGCAACAAAGAGGTTCAGGATAACAACCTGTTGGTAGCCATGAAATAGGATGTCTGTGCCAAATCCTTGCTTGCTGTAAGAAAAAGAAAAACAGAGAGATTAAGCATCTACTCTAACTCCTGTTTATTCCAAAACTGAAGCAATTTTGCCTTCCATAAGCACCATTTCCTATTTTCACAGAACTGATTTGAATTTAACTAGCTAGCCTTTAAAATCTTTCCAAGATACCGACGTGCCCATTACATTCAGCAAGTGGAGATGGCCCAGTCCTTCAGTTTCCTGACTCTGCCCCCCAAGACAACCCACAGAACAAAGTTCCCCTTTGCTTATCTACCCCACAAAAGCCTCATACTCTCCTCTAGAAAAAAGCCTCAGCACTCTCCTCTAGGCACACCTGCTTCCCCACCCTCACCTTACGCTGCCCACCAGCGTAACCCTGCCCCACCTGCATACTGCAGCAAGGCAGTCAATAGAAGCCAGTTCCTGGTACAGCGCAAGTTCTGCCCTTTGAGAACACAGTGGGATAGCTGGAGAACCCACCACACCCCCAAAACACAACCACGTCTCTCCCCCAGCACCTCAGAACACAGCAAGCTCCCAAGACAGATGGTTAACAAAACTAGGCAAGTTTTCTGCTCCCCCGATCAAGGGCACAGCGCTCATAGCATTTTGTTACACATTTCTGATAAACCTCCGTTGAAAAGTCTAATATGAATTAAATGACTACATTTTAGCCAGACAAAAACAAACAAACAAAAAAACAAACCAAACACACAACCCAAGACCTCAACATACCAAAAAGGACAAGCCAATGACTGCCACTGCTACAACATCTAGCACTAACCCTACCAGGAAAGCCCCCGTGATCCTCACTCAAGTAAAGGACTTACTGTAACACGTACATAATGGGATAGCTGGGCACAATGGCTTAAACCGAGGATTGAACGCAGCCTTCATTGAATTCTTACTTTGACACTACCACTTGAAATCAGTGCTACCTGCAGAAAGTGCATTGTTGAATTTTATGTCAAAGAGTACACTGTCACAAAGCTTTGTTTTAAAAGTGACCTTTCTATTAAATTTGAGAAACACTGCAATGGCCTTTAAAATTTAATTTAAGGAACATGTATTAAAAATGGGATGATTGCCAGAGGGTGTAAATCAGGTTTGTCTTCACACTACACAGCTGGGCAGAACACAGAATAGAAAAGAATACAGAAGTAGCAAGGTAACAGGAACCACTGCTACACAGATCTTACTAATCCATAATAATCAGAAGGTGAGCTATGTGACAACATTATACTATAACATTTAGTTTCCAAACTATAATGGTAATTTTATGCCAGAGAGGTATGTTCAACTTCCTCTCCCTCCCATCAGAAGTACCAGGCAGTATTAACAATGTGAAATGAGACTATTAAAACAAATGAAAATATAGAATGCTTTAATAAGACTGGAATTGATATCTTGCTTTTAATTTTCATCGAAGTAATGTTTAAAAGCTCTTCAATCACATCTACGTTCTGTACAGTTACACCGTATTTGAATTTTGGGACCAGACCAAGAAGCATCTCTACTCTCACTGAAATGGCACATCTGAAAAAGGAGGAAAAGCAGATGCCAGAAAACTTCTATTTAACATCAGCTTCAAAGTTGAGTAAATCAAAACACACACCTGGAAGAAAAGAATCACATCTTGAAACACACGTTTTAGCCTCAACAAAAAGTCAATGTGATAAAGACCTTAACCTATCTTACAGGCAGTATCGTACTTGTTTCAATGTGCTTACAGCTAAACAATCAACATTGCCAAAACCATGCACCACTGAGAACAACTGTCCCAAACTCTTACATTTGGGACAACTTTGGTTTAGCAGAATCTATCCACTAAAAGCTAATCAATCTTGGTTCCTGTATTTTGTTATTTCCTTTTGTGTGAAGTGCATCTCCAAGCTAAAATCATCTGGAAGTGCAGAGGTTAAAACAAGCCAGCACAGCTGGTCTGTTACAACTCACAAGCCTCAGGACAGATGACTGACAGCAGCCATTAACAATCAGTTTTATATTTTATCATTCAGGAGTGATTTAAAAACACCTAACCTGTCTCACTGCTGCAGAAGTGACTGTAAGGCAGGGGATTACTTAATTAGTAATCAAGATTTTCAATCAGGACTTGCAGTCTCGATACACATCCCAAAAAAGCTACTGAGTTCAAGAAATTACCAACATGAAGCCAAAATATTTCTTACTGGACATGGCCACACAGTTCAGCTGATGCAATTCCAAGACATTCTGAATCTTTTCTTCACGCTATCTTTGATCTTGAGATAATCACGAAAACGCAACTGGCAAGTCACCCTTAGGAGTATGGTGGCTTGCTGTGCCTAGGACCCTGGGAATGTAGGCAAGCATCCCCAGAAAGAGGAGGCTGCAGATATGCCAGTCATTATCAAAAGACAGAAAAGGTTGCCGAAATCCTTCTGAGCAAAAAGAAAACAAAAGCCACAGGCTCTGAATGGAGCTACGTAGGCAGACACCTGCTGGAAAGGACTGGAGGCAGCCACGGTGTTCAGGTCTGAGCAGTCCTGGTGGCTTCTCTCTTGGAAGCTTTTAAATGCTGGGAACAGGCCTGTGAAAGCCTAAGGTGAAAGTTCAGAATGTGAAGGCCGCCGATAGCGCAGCTGGAGTCTAAGATCTCTCCACACCACTGAGATTTAGGTTTTCCTTAAAGTACCCTCTGAAAAAGCATATTCGTTCAGATTCACTGCCTCTTCTGCAGCCTTTATCAGCCTGACTTAACCAACAGCAGCAGCGCACACAGACACTGCGGTATGTTTGCAGAATTTGCTACTGCAACTTCTAAAAGATTAGTAAGGATCACGGGTGTTCGAGATACCTGATAACCTGCAGAGCAGCAAGAACAATCCTAGAAATCCTTGTGATCCAATCTTCAGTTCCAAAAGAGTGTCGTGTACCAACATGGAAAAAGGAATGACTGAAGACTTCCCAAGACGTGGATAACAATATAGATTCTTCCCCTTCAAGCTCCACCAGGAGGCTGAGAACAGACTTGATTTTGCCCCAGAGCTTAAGAGAACACTGCGATGGTCTCAGCACTAGGGCAGCTTCACTGCTGAACTAGCATGCAAGCCAGTAAAGGTAGTTTGACACCAGGAGCAGTTTTTTTTTTTCCCCTCTTCTCCTCTTCAGCACAGAGCATCCATGGAATGGGCACTGGAGCTTGCCAACAGGCCTTCACAGATCCACTGCCCCAGATTCCTCAGAGGACCTAAGGAACGATGGCCCTGTTTCCTCTTCTCAGTCTCTCGACACTGAGGAAGAACGGTGCAGAAAAAAGACTGAGCCCACACCTTTCCTTGTCCACTACCCTGCCTAAGCTGTACAGATGGAACAATCTAACGCACCCATGGATCTCTGAAGATCAGAATGAATAATTAGATACACCTCATGCCTGAGCATCACGAGTCACTACGCACCTTCCCAGTTACCCCTTACTGACAATCTGTCTTGTCTAATACTACTTTCAGACAGCCCTTCAAACAGAGACAAAGGGTTCAACTTTTCCTTTAGTTGTACGTTGAAGCAGATTATGGCTGTTTGCACCAAGTCCCCCTCACTAGTTCAGCTTCCAGGAATTTGTTCTGGTAGGCCTCTATTAGTCACTGGGTCATCTGACAAAGGACTTGGCTAGAACTTGTGAGCCTCAGCAACAGAACCCATTTCTTAAAGATAATTACAGATTACTACAGGTGAGAGCATGAAGCGCACCATCCTGGATGCGAGATAACAAGAATTAATATAGGAATCAGCCCGTTTCTTAGCACCTTTGTTAAACTTGTTTTAGCCAGCTTCTCTGAGGCACCAGGGCACTTCCTCACCACACGGCAATTCAACACACAGGTGCTGAGCCAGAGCCTTGTTAAACACAGCCACAGACCTCAGCTACCTTGTAGCCTCTCTTTTGACTGCTCAGTCAGCCAAATTATCTCCTTCCCTTCCTTCTCCTCTCAAACACACAGTTGAAAGTTTTAATCATAATAGTCCCGGATAAATTAATCCCCTTTAATATAAGAGGGGATCACTTTGCCCTTTAGAATAATACTTCATGTCCAAGACAGCATATTACCAGAACTGGATGAAGAAACCTTAAAATTTCTTCAGCTTCTCAGTCAAGCCCTTCGGGCTAAAGGGATCATACACTGACAACAGTTTGTGATATCTATGGAAAGCTTCAGGACTGGATATTTAAGTGTAGCACTCACTTCCATTAAAACAACGTAATGTCCAAGAAGTAAGATTTTGAGAACTAAAACCATGCCACAGTTATCACTGTGCCCCAAAGTCCATCTCTATTTACTCAATACATTCAACGGATGCTCTATGGAAATTATTGTCTACTCACTTTACTTGTGAGCGTGATTATAGATTTCATGCTCTACATTTTTAATATATGTTGTTTTTTTTCTTTCATGCTTTTTAAATGAGTTATTCAAGCCTTGTGTTTGCCGCCCATATCACCCCTAGGAGGGGGATATGCTGCCAGGAATTCTACTTGTGTGTACATACACCAGGAAGCATGCCTACCCGAGACAGGAGGTTTTCAAGCACCTGTTGTATTAAATTCACTTTGCGCCAGTTCTTGGGGTATGTAGATTTTCAGCCCTCAGTGCAGTCTTCAGATTTCAAGACTTCATATAATTTTGAATTTTATGTATTTTGTTAAACTGCACTGACATTAAGTACTAGCTTGAAAATGTCAAGTTTTAAAAGTAGCACTAAAAGCAGCATGTACCTTCAGTGTATGAACTGTGTTAGTACACAAAAGCAGCACGCAAAACGCACAGGAAAGAGCTGAACTGTCTTAGAGGGTTATGTACTTGAGTAAAAGAAATGAAGTTTATGTAACATATGCCTTTCTTCTTCTAAGCTCCAGGAAAACACGCTTGCTAATGGGGAAATCTACCATACTGCTTATCACCCCTTCCCACTCCCCTAAGACACAGAGCTGAAGTGCAGGGGCTCACACGAAATCAACAAGAAGTGTGCTAACTTTTATACTGACCAAGAGCTGAAAAAAAAAAAAACAAAAAACAAAAACCATGACAGAACTTTCGAGCTGCTGATTCACTGAGACACTAGGTGCAATCAGACTTATGCACTGAGTCACAATCAAATCTGGACAGAAAGCAAAGAATCTTCTTAAAGAATTGCAATAAAGCTACTTTATATGCAAATAAGCTACAAATGGCACCAGCTCTCCTCAAACTCTGAAGACACTACACCACTAAGCTACTTCAAAACGGGAAACAAAATATTTCTCTCTCAAAGAACAGCTTTAATTCTAGAGTTACTAGCAAACAGATCTAGTTAACATGATAATGTTATGCCTACCTTTCCTACATTTTATAGGGGGGGGAGAAAAACAACTTTGAAGCATTTAACTTCGCATTTTTCAATGTCAACAACAACTAATGACTAAAGATCAACAACTACAGCCTAATAATTTCCAGTTCAAGAACACGATCAAAGTGAAAAAGCTGGCGATCAATTGAAAAAGCACTTAAAATCAATTTTTCATCCTCCATCTTATGAAAAGCTCTTTAGAACTCTAAAGGAAACTGATTTAAGAGTTAAAGAAGGTGTACCAACACTCAACAAAAAAAATACTAGATATAAAGAACAAAACAGATTTCTAGCTAGAGTCACGTTAATGAACTGCATGTAAGTTAAGAGGATACGAAACACCAGAGGTTGGAGGTTTGCTACCACCCCATCCAAATTAAGCACGTCCTTTTATCCCACAGCTCATTACCTAAAAAAATTAAGGTAGAAAGCTACTGTTAGCTATCAACCAGCACAAAGACTAACTTTATTACTATTTTGTAAAGCTACTTCAGAGTGAAAATCAACCCAGAATTTCTTTCTCAACTAGTAATTGCTCTGTTATTTGAAAGAACATGGAACAGATTATTCAATCAAAGCTACTAAGCAAGCAAAAGAAAATTTCATGAAGGACAAAGAACTGGACTCTTCATCAGACTGTAATGGTTAAGATCAAACTTTTAGTAGTTAGCCTTAAACAAACTCTTTGGACAACATAATTGTTCATATTGCACAAATAACATCACCTATAAATTTTACTAGAAATGTAAAAAAAAAAAAAAAAGGGCTTACAGAAGGGGATAAAAGCCACTGACCTCTCACTAATTGCGTACATTTCACAACATCTGTGTGCGGATGTTCAATGGTAATCTCAAAACCTGAAGAGTTAAGAATATGTTTTAGAACTACACATTTCCATCTGTACCATAAAAAAGAGACCTTTTCCTTCCCCCAGAGACCTAATACCTACTAAACCTTTGCACTGCAGATCATATAACACTATTTAACTGTCTCTTACTCTGCACTTTTGTATTTCTGAATGGTAGAGCCATTTCCAGATCAATTAGTAAAACATCCCTGCATTACCCTCAAGTCCTACATAGAATATGTGAAGTTACTGCATTTTTCAGGCTGAACATACACGAACAGTTTCTAGTATACTTATCAGTATGAGCTGTATCACAGACACTGAAACGTGTATGTGTGCACACGTCTGCTTTATTCAATCATTTCTGGGGCTTGAACATATTCCATCTATGAGATTACCAATTAAGTCAATTTGTAGGTCAGTCACTTCAAAAGCCTTTGTTTATTAAGCTATTTTAAGAAGTAGGTCACTACTATTTTCTTCCCTTTTTTTTTTTTAAAGCAATACACTCAAAGTGGTATTTAGTAAGTCAACGTTCTCAGGGCTGCCAGCTGTAGTTGTCTCTATTTATGTTAGTTTAAAGCCAGAAAAGTTTCTTATCAGAACACTGCATTTTTGATTTTGGAATTACCTGAATCCATTAAATGGTTACATTACAAATTGCAATGTTCAGAGGTAACAACTCTGCTCAACTAGATAGTATTTTTCTATTGAAAGGCAAAACAGGGAAGAGCACTTGGTATATAAAGCTTTTGCCAAGTGCTTCAGAACACACACAGCTGACCTAGCACATGCTATGTTGTGTAAAGTAACACAATTACTACTTTGGAATAACATTATTTGGAAGGGTATACATTTCTACTCCATCAAACTGTCAGAAACATTTATTTGACAAGTATTGGTATGCCTTTTTTCTCCAGAGTGAACACAACAGCAACTGGTGATATAAAACTAGACTCACAGGTCAGAAGTTGCATACAAAAAAAATAGTAAAATTCTAGCATACCAAAGGCACATCAAAAATCCAGCTACCTGGGTCCCATGACTGGCTCATGGCAAATGGGCTGCACAACAGGCATTTAAAAAGACATACCTAAAGTTTGAAGCATTATTGTTTCAAGTATAACCAGCTCTTGAGCTTGCTGAAGGTATGCCTGAAACAAATAAGCAAACACGTCAAGACGTAGGCATCTATCGTCTCAAAATTTCAATTACACACTTCCTACTTGAACACTGGCATTATCAACATAAATTAAAGACCAGTACCCATGCCAGTGAGCACTGAGCATTCAGAATACTTTACTGCAGTAAGACTTCCTTCTACTTGTATAGGCCTCACTGTAAATTCAGTTATCCCTCAGTTACAGCAGCCTAACCATCTTTCACAGTAAGATTTACTTCATTTCAATCTTACACAGTTATTCCAGCAAAGCATCGTTGGGAGGATGAGGAATGCTATGTACATTATGGAGGCTTGCCAGTGCAAACAAACTCAACTATCTCTACGCAGGTTCTCCATTTCGGTACTTTAAAATACAGCTGGAGATACCCAGTTGGCCTGTGTTCTGGGCTCCACCGTATATATAGTACACCTCCATGTGTCATTCCAAGAACTGGGAGCATGGCAAATAGCTTATATGTCAGTTCAGGTCCAGCGGGGTATAACTAGCTCAGCCTGACCTTCCAGCAGAGCAACTCTGGTGCATTTCCACCATACTTCCTCACAGTTGTTTCCAGGAAGCTTCATCACAGGAAAGAAAATGGAAACTGTGAAGTAAGTGGAAGCTGTACAAAGTCTGGCAAATCAAGGAAGGAAGACCAATGTACAGCAGAGACAGTAGCTGACTGCCTGCATGGCATCCTTTAAAACAGAAGGTAGACAACAGCACAGTCAGCCTCTGGCTGAGAGAGAGGAATACTCAGCGTCCTCAACTCTCTACACGAAGTATGGAACTCACAAAGCCATGCGTGAAACCTCTCATTTAATGTCTCATCAAGATTTCTACTACACATGGGGAAGTTTTAAAAATAATGCAAGTTTAAGGTGAAGCAACCCCTCCAAGTGTCATAACACAGATACCTGAGTCCTCAATTAGTTACATTAAGTAATACAAAAGATCTGAATGGTTTAAACACAGGTGTTTTTTCTAGTATGCAGACAGCAATAATCCAGTCAAGACAATGTAACAACTCATCAGATGAAGCGTCATTTGATTATCTCTAAAACCATGACTTCCACCTACATCACTCTTTGTATCCAGTAGTGGCTCTTGAGGGTGAAGACAGGCATGTGCTACTTTAATAACATGTTCGAGTTTCCGCGGCTGTTCTTCCACTTTTGCAGCCAAGAACAATGCCGTAGGAGATATTATCTGAAGAAGAAAAACACACAGATTTAACTTTTTACAAGTAGGACTTTATTTTTTATGGAGAACACAAACAAGTAATTAGAAAAGGTTTAGAGGTTTAATTTTTTTTAAACAGTTCTGAAATCATGTAGCACGGTAAAAATAACCGATCATGTTTTATTTTATAAGTAATGCAATCCTCCCAGCACCATGTGGAAGGAGTAGCATAAATGCAACATTACACTGAGTGAGATGTCTGTGGTCAAGTTAATTCTAGTTCAACACAAAAATCACAGACTTGGTCCAGAAGATTTAGCCACACCAGAAGTGACTTTTCAGGTTAAAAACACTCGATGAGAAAGCTCATCCAAGTCCTAGTACATTAGTGAGCCGTCACACCACCTTTTCAGCACGAGCTAGAACTGCTGATCTCAGGTTCTGCAAGCATGTGTTTCTCCTAAAAAGCAAGCAACTTGGCAGAGAACTTTAAGGAAAATAGTTTGTTACATAAACATAGGTTATAGAAGTATAATCATAGTAAGCGTAACCTCTTAGCACAGCCACTGATGGCACAGAAGTTTATTCCTAGAAACTTTGCTATACACCCAGTAGTATCTGGAGAGCAAAGCACAAAGATTCACAAAATACCAGTTATATCAGATATTACTAACGACTACAAGTTACATTTAAAGATAATTAAAAAAAAAACAACTCTAGGTGTCATAAGCTGGCAGCAAAGCACCTACTCAGTGCTGTATCACCTAGGATTTTGCAATTAAAATAGTTTTGATGCTTAGCTGTCAGCTAGAATAACTGATTTATCTACACGTGGAACATGGCTAACCACACATGACTGAAAAGAATCAGGGTCCTCCTTGTATGCAGAAGTTGTCTGTGTTAAACATGAATTAAGATGACAGCAGAAATCTTCATGTAGATATCAGCAGATCGAATTGGTTAAAATTAAGCATTTCTTCAGGAATTTAAATAGCTGCTTGTTGAGTATGTAATTGATGCACAGTGTCAATAGTGCAGGTACTGGATTTTTTATCCAGCGCCCACACACAATTAGACTGAATGAGCTGAACAGCAGTCATACTTCCCCCTAGAATTTTCTTGTAAGTAGCTCTTTGTTATGCCAAAATTAAACATTTGGTATGAAATTCCCAATATACAAAAAACTGCAATAGGCTAATTAGAACTGAACATTTAATGATTACCCATTACATTTAAAGAGGCAACAAGTGCTCCCTTGATACATTTAAAGGCTCCTCAAATCACTCTGAAATGTCCACTTAGATCTTAAGGAGAACTTGTAAGCTGGCAGACTCGAGGAGAATTGATACCCTGGGAAGGTGATACCCTTTGATGCACAGAAACGTGCTATTAAAAAACCTAGTGCTCTAAAACAACAACCAAACCACCACCACCAAGTCACAGGCAGCAAATTCTCACAACTGAGACCAAAAACTCCTTCCTCTTCAAGGACTTTGTAACTTGACCCTTACGAACGAGTGAAATAAAAGCCTGAAGTGAAGTGGTGCTGAACCAGGCCACATTAGCACTCACATTTAAGATCCTAACATTTTTTGAGAAGTTCATACCCACATTGTTTGAAGTAAAGACATGAAGTTCTGGAAGAAACTCCCTTTCCTAGGGCTGTACTACTTAAAATATGCCTCACTTAAGCCAGGAGACAAATTTCTAAATATTACATGTGAAGGAAAGACTTTCTGGAGTTCAGAAAGCTGAAGTAACAACAGCTTTGAGGAGAAGTACAGTAGTACACACATGTAAGGGCAGTCACATCCAAAGCTGACACCTGATGCTAAAGATTACAGTCTCCAACATAATCCTGAGCTTCTGGGAAAACCCAAGTTAGCAGACAGGGCTGGGAAGCCAAAGAAATGCGAACTACTGAGAAGAAAGGAAATTGAGAACAGTTAAGAATCAACAGTTTTAGGGAAACAAGTTTGACAAGATGTTGTACAGACACGAGGAGGCATTACCTAACTAGAACAGGCTCCACTTTTTACCCAAGAGAGAGCTGCAGTAAGTGGACTGTGATGACTGAACCTGGCATAGGAAGGACTCAGCTCGGTGGAATCACTGAGGGAGGAAAACTGAGTCATGAAGTGGATGGAATCAGGAACAGCCTGGACAGTGTGAAGCAGCTTCATTTGAAGATAAAATGATCCTTCCCGTGCCTTCACGACCACTCAGTTTTTATTAGTAGTTGTTTTTGTGTTTAAACAAGAGAGTCAGCAGTCACAGTTGGAGAGGAAGACAACAAAAGCTGTTTTCCTCTACGCAGCAAACCCAACTACGCTCTTCTCTCTCTCCTTCCTGCACTGCCATCTCACCATTCAGGTTGCTGCATTCAGGCCTTAGTTCTCCTAGCTTCACATAGAAATTTAAGTCAAATACACCTAAATACAAGGCCTATTTCTACCCAGTCTGTGGTTCTGTTCCAAATTCTATACAGGGCATTTCCACATTTTACTTTTCTGAAAAACAAAACAAAATCCACCTATTACTATAGAAAATATTTACAATTCACAACCAATT